AAATTCACTTCAGTTTGGCAAAAAATTTGGAAAACTCCTTTGGCTGTAGGTGTGGAATATGCTGTACTTGAACTTGTTACTGTGCTGAAGTTATGGAAGTAGAATCTTTGTTTAATGGCCAACACGAAGCCTTTGTGGTAAAGGAAAAGTGGTAAACTGCTTCTGTGTGTTTCTCAACTGTTTTTAGTGGAGTCACGATTTCAGTCGGGCTTTTTTTTTATATCAGACTTGATATAAGCATCACTACTACAGATGTCTGTATCTGACTGTGGGTATATTTTAATATTCAGAGAAACATTTGAGATTCCAGTTTTACAGACAGCATGATTTGAGCTGAACAGGTTTGTCTTCTCAATTAAAGGGAGCTGTCTTCAATCACACATGAAGTTTAGGTATTCTTTTTATGCATTAGTGTTTGTCTGAGTGTGGTGACTTGATGGCTTGGCTGAAAGACTTGAATAAAACACAGCTGAGCAGAACTCTTTTTCTTGAAGATTCCTTCTGCTGTCGTGTGTATTTGGGCCAGGGAGGGCTGCTTTTGAAATGGTGCTTTGAACACATGGCAGGAAACGCACAGGTGGAATGGCCAGATGAAGACTGAGGTGTGCAAGAGAATGCAGAAAGAATTGGTGTGAGTACTGGAGCTAGAGAGGCAACATAACGTTATGTTGTAGACTGTACAAGATCTGTGGATATAGTTAAGGAGCGAGGCTGGATACCAGAAAAGAGGAAGGGGGAGGGCTGCTTTTGAAATGGTGCTTTGAACACATGGCAGGAAACGCACAGGTGAAATGGCCAGATGAAGACTGAGGTGTGCAAGAGAATGCAGAAAGAATTGGTGTGAGTACTGGAGCTAGAGAGGCAACATAACGTTATGTTGTAGGCTGTACAAGATCTGTGGATATAAAGGAGCGAGGCTGGATACTAGAAGAGAGGAAGGTGAGGAACTGGGAAGCAATTAAACACAGTTATGGGAGAGAACAGTGACAAAATACTTCTAAATCATGATTGCATAGCTGGGAAATAGTGAAGATGCAGTGAAAAACTGTACTGGCAGATTGATATAACATCAGTGGTAGGACATGTTCTTCAGATGCTCATTACAAGGACACCTGGAAAGGTATAGTTAATAGTAAAGGGCAAAAAGGCCTTGTGAAAGGTTAAATCAAGGTAGATTTGGGCTGCTGCGTAAACACTTCTCCCTCTTCAGTCCGGGCAATAAGTGGAAATAATGTAAGTGTGTGGATTTTCAGAACACCCCAGCATAGCTGTATGACTTAAACAACTGATTAAATTATATTTAGAGTTTATTAATAATAATAATTTCTATAGCTAAGCAGCAAGCTGAAAATTAAACCCACCAATTTTTACAGGATACTCCTCGTGTGAACTTGGTACAGTGTTTAAATAGCAACTGGTTCTTTTGCCTGTCAGCCCTACTCAATCACTGCTATGAGATTTCCTTAAAATACATCACTATTTCTGTGCTTGCATCCATGACTTGCTCTACTTCTCCCCACTTTCTAAAGGAAGAGGTAAGGTCCAGGGTCAGAACCTGGGTTGGAGGCTCCGTGAGCAGGCAGTACCCATGGCTGGGTCAAAGGACTTGCAGAGTACTCTGCTCCTAGAAGCAGCAGAGTGCAAAGGGCCGGTTTCACTGCCTGCCAGCAATAAACCAGGGAGGCAAGGTGTAGTTACTGCGGCCTCGGAGATGGAAACACATAGGTAAGCAGGCTGAGCAGTCCCAAGCGGGTACAGAGCAGCACGGGAGAGCAGCTGTAGGATTGTCAGGATGGTTCCAAGCAGAGACATGATCATCCAGACATCACTGAAAGGTTACTTGGTCTGACATGCAAGGAAGCCTAATTAATAATAATGTCAACAGCTTTAAAAGCTTTACAGCAATCTGCTGGTTGCATCAGTGAAGGGTTTGGGTTGCATGACTGAATGGCTTTTTGTGTTGTGTATACAGGCACATGCCCGAGGCAAACTGCCTTGTAAACAGATGTTAAATTGGATCAGCAATACTTCCAAAATATTTACTCATTTTCCTTCTGGAGTAGTCAGGTGGTTGCAACATCACTTCCATGCTTTCATAGCGCAGAGGTGGCCTGAAAGGAGATGAAGGCTTAAAACTAAACGGTGGAAGGGTTTTGGCAAGGGGTGGCAAAATAGACGCAGCTTTTGTCTAGGGTGTGACTGACAGGTAAGTGGGCACAGGGCACAGGGGATGGTGTAGCTCCTTCTAAGTAAATGGTCCAGAGCTTGACTGAAACCTTAAAGGCTGGAGCTGTCTGTCCCCTGTTGGCAGTCCCTTCTTGCCACAGAAATGCTGCTTGCCGGCAGTGCTTCAGAGGAGGGAACACAATAACCTTGTGTATGCTCCAGGTGATCAGTGTTGTGTTCCATATTATAGACACTGCTGTTTGATTTTGTTCATAATACTGGGTACTGTCCTCTTGAGAAGAGGCACTCCCACCTTCAGTTCTGCTTCTCCCTCCTTGCTTAAAGGGTGGCTAGCAAGAGAGGGAAGAGTCCTTGTCTTCTCTGATTTCATTAGGTAATGAAAATCAGCCAATAGGCTGTTCTATCAGATTTGATAGAAAGACATCCTCCGACATCAGAACAGTGTACAGAAGTTCCAATAAAATTGCTGACGTTACTTCAGTGTCCCTAAAAGTGAAACAAAACGCAGTGCGGTGTTGGGTGCTGTTTAGAGACCAGTTACACAGACAGGTGCTAGAAATCAGAGCTATTTCCAAGCATGGGGAAAATGATTTTATAGAACAAATGAACAAAAAACCCAGACTCCGTAGAACCTCGTTCAGTCTATCAGGACTGAAAAGACTCCGGGAGTATCCTTCTGAAACGGAGGCTGAAAGATGTTGTCTTAGCAAAAGCTGCTCAGTTTTCTCTGGATGTGGATTTTGAGAAGCAGTTGCCAACCACTTGCTCTTGCGTATCAGACCTGAAAATCCATGCAGCCTGCAGGGGACAGTGCTCCAGAAACCTACCCACCTTCTTTGCTGAGGCTTCCCTAGCTCAGGAGAAGAGATCAGAACAGGCAAAGGCAGAGAGCAAGGGAGGTCTTAGATAGGGCTCTACTTTTACCTCAGGGTTGAGAAAGGAGGACTTGAAATTTTGGCATGGAACCGAGTGAATTATAGAAATGGGCAGGAAATGAAGAGGTAGAAAGCAGAGTTAATGAGAAAGCAAATACCGTTTAAAACCGCACTCCATCTGAGCTCCTGCTCACCTTCTACCTCTGTCTGTTCCCTGTTGGCACACCTTGAAGCTTCTGTGTTAGTGGAGAGGAGGTTCTGTTCAGAGCATCTCTGCTTGCAGGAGTTCTTGAAAACTCTCTTCTATTCCCTGCAAACCTCAAATTACTCCACCACAACACCCAGGATTCCTAACCCTCCTCCCAGAGAAAGTGTGTTGATTTAGCTTTTAAATGGTCCTTTTTTCCTTAATTTAAATTTGCGTTGTTGAAACCAATCTTGCATTAAGTCTGTGAAAGCATTTTTAAAATTTATGTTCCTCAGCCAAGGCATTACTGCTAATAAAATGAATATGTAGCTAAAATGTATGTTTTAAAAGTCTGTACTTAGATACTGACTGGTCCAGCTTAGCTTGTTCTTTCAAATAGGCTGGGTATGCAAAAGCTGCATGAAATTAAAAATTAATGAAGGGACACAATAGACACAAGAAACCTGACAAGTAACAATAAACCTCATCAACTTAACATGCAGTCATCCTGCTTTAAAACCAATAAGCAAGCCAAACAGGCAAGACAGGTTGTGTGCAGAAGGGTTCTAGATGATCGTGGTATAACGCACTCAAGCTGTAGTTGGACCAGTTTCATTGTAAAGCCAATATTGCCACTGAAAGGAGCCCCGTGCTTATGAGCTTGCTGTGGGTTTCTGTCCTCAGCGCTGGTTTCTATATCCTCCTCCACCTCCTTTCTCTGATCCTCCTTGCACTGGGATTACAGGGTGACGGTGGGTGAGGCATCCGAGGAGCTCATGTACATGGGCAGTGAGGAGGAAGCAGGAGAAAAAGCATCTGTGGGCTGTTTTTCTACTCACTCAGTCCCTTGCTGCTTCTCACACTTCACTGGGATGTTTCCAGTGCTACCTTATCCTTCAAAGTAGGACAGGAATAAGCAACTCGGAAGCACTAAGCCAGGCACACATCTGAAACAGGACACCCGTTCCTCCCAGTGCATCCCTGTGCTGAGTTCATGCTGCTTTGTGCCTAGGTGAGAACGTGTAGCTGAAATATGCCCACTGATCTTGAAGATACGGGGTGCAAATAAAACTTGAAAATGGGATCACTTGCTGCTTCAGACCTACAAGTGAGCATCATCTCCAGAAAACATGCCCAGCTTTCTTCTCACATCTGCTTATCATGAGTTCAGGTCTTTCTGTAACACAGACCACAGCTAAAGGAGCCTCTTACTGGGAAGGAGGAGCAGAGCCTCCCAGAACAACAGGAGAGAGGCTGTAGTTTAAAATGCAGGGAGTCTGGATGGACCTACAGCATCATGGACATTTCTGTTTGAAATTGGAGAGCTGGTGAGAGTCTTACATTCTTGCATCACAGACTTTTCTAAACTGATCTCAATAAGCAGAATAGATTTACCATGGTAGTGGTTCAGTGTTTTGAGAAGTACGCATCTTGTTTGAGCTGCAGGTACTGGTGTAGGAGGAAAATACTGGGAACACCATTTCCGTGAGTACCACTGGTATGCCTGTGGGAATGCTCAACTCCGAGGAAATTCAAAGGCTTGGCAAGTCTTGTGTTATCATGGCAACTCCTCGCTGATAGTAGCGTTTGGATAGTGTACTTATGGAAAGTAGTCTGTGTAATAAAGCCTATAGAAATCAGAGTCTAGATCAAGCCATATGTCATGAAGGATCTCCAAGTTGTACTGCAACTCTACTGCTTTTTCAGTCTTGCCTTGCATATCCTTACCGTTTTTTGCTTGTGTCCTACAGGTAAGGCACAGAACCTCAGACCAGGTGATGGCTTTGAAGATGAACACACTGAACAGCAACAGAGCAAACATGCTGAAAGAGGTTCAACTGATGAACAGGCTCTCGCATCCAAACATCTTGAGGTATGCTGGCTTTTTCCTGAACTGCGGGAAGATTGGTTGTCTTTAGTAGAGCTCTCCAATGGCCTTTTAAAAAAAAGACTTCTGTTATAGCTGTGTCTGTTGTGAATGGGTTAGGATCAGCTTCTGATTTAATGGAAGAAGGGGAGGAGGAAGAAAAGACTTGAGCAAATGGAAAAATCCACATGGTTTTGGTATCTGGAGTTTACCAGTAATGAGTAACTTATTTTAGAGAAAAAACAAGTTTTAACATGAGAAATTTCTGATGAATCAGTAAAATGAGATGAAGACTGAAATCTGGCTTCTCTTCATGAACTTAAATTATTGCCAGTTTAACACCATTCAAATAATCTACAGCTACTAATCTTGCAGATTAATAATGCAAAGTGCCATAGCTTCGTCATTTTTAGGTCTGTTTTCTACTTTTTAGCACTTTCTTGTAGTATTACAAGGTTGGGATAAGAGGGACTGAAGGTGGGAAGCTGGAATTGAACTAATCTGATTTATCTGCTCTTGGAAGGAAAGAGGTAGCTCTTGTTTTGCAGTAGATTACTGGATACAAATCCAAAGTGTGTCTATCTTGTTATTCCTTGAATCTTTTCAATCTTGGTTACTCTTTTATGAAGATATGACAAGCAATTAACGTAATTATTTGGAGCCATAACATAGAGAGTTTTGAAGCACCAGATAAGCAGTTCTCCAGAATTACTGCTGCACAGCTGGGACCCATGTTGATAGTCACAGGTAGTGTAGCTCTTTCTGGAAACTTCTGGAGACACAGTGCACTTTCAGTAACTTATTTTCCTCTTCTTCACCGGACTGTTCAATAGTACAGGCATGGTACTGACTCCTAAAATTCTGTATAGAAAACTTTGCTGACCCTTGAAATCCTGGCTCAGTCTTCGTCGGCTGATGTGTAACAATATTGGCTTGGTTGTTTCCCTCGGTATCTATGAGACATCAGAAGCATTTGTGCCTGTTTTCTGTTTTTTTCTTCTTAAAGCTCCAAAAACCTGTGGACTTAGAGGGTTCTTATTCGTAGTGAACTGTATTGGGTTTATCGAGGTATGCTTATTCAAGGGTTGTAGCAATCTGTCCCTAAGGAGAATTCAGTTTTCTCTGCTGCACGGTGAGCTGGATTCAAGCAACTCCTCTGACTGTTCCCTTTGGTTTGGGTGATTTGTTTTTAACGATGTCAGGTATCTGGCTTTTTAGGTTTCAGGATCATGAATTGTTTCTTGTGTCTGCCCACCACTTCCTTTCCCTCGGAATCCTTAAATAAGCAGCTTGTGATCCTGGGCAGTGATCGAGCTGCTTTTGGTAAGGTTTGTGGAAAGAAGAACTTCATAGGATTGGTGTTGCCAGGATCATGCAGTCAGTGTGCTTCATCAGGTTCTTTATCAGCCTTGTGTGCTTTATAAATCTTATTCTAAAAACACCCAGCTTTACAACTCTGTTCAAAAGAAAGTGTTTCGTTTAGGCAGGGGTGAGGGCAAGGAAAGGGGTACTTGGACAGGCAAAAAGTGTTCAGCTGCAGCTTCATGTGACCCTGCCCCCCTTGCCTGCAGTTACACAGGTGCTGCTGAGGACAAACCTTATTGTGCTCAGATCTGAGTAATTGCTGACATTTCAATGCCCTGTGATGCCTGAGAGATCACATTGATGCTATAGCAGTGTATCCTCTGGCCTCAGAGCCTGGGGTAATTTGAAGGCAGTGGTGCTGCACACAGATGGTGCTGAAGAAAGAGCACTGATGTCTTGATTCCGGTTGGTCTCCCTGTTATTACACAGGATGGACAGAGAAATCTTTCTATTTTGTGTTCAACTCAGCAGTTAGGAGCAAATACATAAGAAATAAATGACTGAAATAGAAAAGCTTGGTCTTCGCGTAATTTGTTTTGAAGAGTAAGCTGCACTTGCTCTATGAATCACTCGATCTGAGGTTTCTTCAAAGAGGGTTGGTTCTCTGGTAAGAAATACTGACTTTTCCTTAGGTAGGTACCCCTGCTGCAGGCAGCAAGGGCATTTCTACAGCAAATGCAGATGAGAAAGCTTTATTTAGCTTTAGTTTATTTTATTGAATAATAATCCACAGTTAAAAACCCAAACGATTTTTCTTCTCTAGCAGGTAACTTGGTGGTTTTGTGTGTTGGCTACGTGTCATTTTGGTTTAAAATCACTTCCTGCAGTGTTTCCAGTCCCTTTACATCTGAAGATTTGGCCCTGTTTAGATGTGACCTGCCCATGTGTCTGTGTGTACCTGTATAGGTACACATGCATGCAGACGTCTGCATTTGTTTCAGAAACCTGCAAATCATTGGTGCTTCTACTACTGTTATAAAAATTAGTTGAGGACCTATTTCCCACTTGAGAAACAGATTAAAAATAGCATTTGATAATAATTTGCTTTTATAGTAGAGAGTTGAAAGCATTGTGGTGTCAAGTAAGGAGATGAAGTAGTACCTACAACAACATTTTCCTGTTGAAACATTTTCTGGGATCGTTTTTGGAAATGTGAAGCTTGTATTGGTATTTAAAGGGAATTATTCTCTTGCAAGACGTTCTGCCTTCCTCATTGCAGGGACCGTGAGCTACCTCAGTTTGCTGCTAAATGTTGTTTTATTTCTGTCCTTTGAAGATCTTTATTTACATTACTAAGATGATTTGTTACTAGCATCAAGTTTAATGATTTGTTGGTCAGCCACTGGGTCTCCTCCACAGGCCTTGAAGGTGGTCTCTGATTTGATGTAATATCTGTACACCTGAGCTTTTCATTTGCTGTGAGCCCTAGGACTACTTGCTGTAGTGAACAAGATGCTTTCCTTAGTGCTAATCTGTTGTTTGCCATAAGGAAACGTGTGGATTCTTGGGCTGAAACGTTGGTGTCGTGTTGGGCAGTGGTGAATTGCAGCAGGTGGAGCACTGTGAGGTTCTGTGATAGCAGACGGCTTGGAGAATGGTGAAAGTGGGTAGGTGCTGGCTTGACGGCATCCCAAATCTGCTCTCCACCTATTTCAACGTGTGCAGGTCAGTCAGTGTGACCGGCAGATGCAGCCGTGATTAATTTATTGTAGTACACTGAAATCTTCCTTCATCTGGTGTGTGGTTATGGTTTTGAACATCCCAATGCTTTGATACCTAAAATTTGTAACTGAGGCAATGTTTTTGTCCTAGAACTCTTCCCTGGTTTATGTGAACCCAGTGATGTGTAAGAGGGAAGAGATTCCTCCTCCTAGTAGTGTGTTTGGACTAGAATTGCTGGGGCATGGGGAACCAAGGGTTTCGAGCATTTCTGCACTTCCTTGTTAGTTTGTGTCCCATTGAAAGCTCGGTGCTGCTCAAGACTGAGGTTGGATCTGGTACCAGGGTTATCAGAGGTCTGGTGTTGCTCGTCAATGTTCCCTGCTTTGCTGCTTCTCTAAATGCTGGTTCTGAGTTTTTGCTCAGATGAAGTAAGAAAACAGGGCTGGAAAGGACTCAGTCCTAGGAGCCTTAGGGCTGCAGCCTGAGATCCGATGTCTTCTGGTTCTGATAATGTCTTCCAGGTGTGTTTTTCTCATTTCACCAGTGCAGTGGTGTGCTAACACAGCTGCTGTCTTCTGTGCTGCCTCTTAAGTCAGTGCATCTTCAATTTTGAAATAGAATTTCAGTCTTTAATATCACTACCGTTTGCATGAAAAAGCATTGATTTAATCTGTACCGTGGGGACTTAATTTACAACATTCAGTACATGGGAAGCCTTGGCTTATGTCTGAAGTGCTCTCATGGGAGCACCAGGAGGTATCGCTGCGTGTTTGGCAGTGAGCGTGCAGATTGACTCATCCATTAAATCCATCTTCTTGCACACACACGCACAAATAAACCAGCAGTGTGCATATTACGTGAACTTCTTTCAAGGATAGCTTGATTTCATTTCCTTTCAGACAAATCTAGCACCCTGCAAACACGGTACCAGCTTTTGGGGGTCTTTGTGCATTTTTTTCTCCTGTCAAACCTTTCTTTTTGTGAAATTACTTGTGATTGACTTTATTACAAGAGGCAGAAGGATGCTTTTGTCTGCTAACCTCCTTTCTTCTGTATTGAACAGTGCTTTAACAGAAAAGGAAAATACTTTTACTTCTCTGTGTGTAATGGAGTTGTCAAAAAGGGGTGTTTTAGTGATGCTGCTCACAAGACAGCAGAAGAGAGGCTGTGTGCGTTGTGTGTAATATGTTATGGAAAGGGTGGGTGAAGTGCTCTACCTCTGTCTTGAATCAAAATGCAAGTGTAGAAAACTTAAAATACATTTTTAATCCAGCACGGTGCCTAAGACATTAAGGTCTTAAACAGACTTTATGTTCTTATTCACCCTCCTCCTGCTCCAATAGCAGTCAGTGGAAAGAAACAAGCATCTGTCTCTTGACCCTGTTTCTCTGTGTTCCTGAGCTTGTATGAGAGACTTTTGCATTGGTGTTTGGTTTGTGTCTTATTTTCAATGCTATCACCAGAATGTTGAATTTTCTCACACAAGCAGCAGATTTCAGAGGGCATCAATTTATTCTGTTGGGCTGCAGCTGCCCCAGGATTATCCACACAACAGGAATATTTCCCAGTCGGGTGGTTCTAATGGGAAGCATGTGTTCAGTGTCTGCATGTCCACAGTGGCTGCATCATCTGGATATGAGTTGTGGTTGATTTATCAAGGAAGCAGAGGTTGCAGGCTGAGGTTACAGCTCTCTTAGTCTCCTTTTTCCCTGTCCCGAATTTTCTCCCAGACTGCACTGAAGGCAGTTTGGATACCTGCTCTGCCTGACCAAGACATGTCCGGGGTACCTCCTCGCTCTTGTCCAGGGCAGGTGTGCCAGACTGAGGAATAACCCGCTTTACAGAAACGTCTGAACATCACTGATGTTCGTCAGAAAACACTCTGTGGTATAAACGCGCTGCGCTGTATTTATTAGAGTGGACTCAAACAGCATCCTTCATGTTTGAGGCTTCTGGGGAAACTTTTCCAACCACTCGTCATCGTTTTGGAAGCGCTTCAGCTTTCCTGATAAGGCCAGATACGCTGTCTTGAAAAGAAACTTCCTTCAATCTGCAGTAGTCTCCTGGTTTGTGGCTGTCTGGCCGCTGAAGCTGCTTCCAACTGGAAATGCTCATAGGAAGTGTAACCTCTGGCAGCCGAGGCAGAGTTCTGCTGCAGTTCACCTACAAGCGCGTTTTGGCTGCGCAGACGGCGCGTCTGGCCAACAGGAATCACCTCAGCTGTGCGGGGCCAGCACGGCAGCTTCCTGTCCACACCGCCTGCCATCTCAGAAACTGAGATTTCACTTGGTAACTAAGTCCTGGTAGCAGCTGCGTGTGTTATCTTGCAGCGAAATGCTTTCCAGCAGGGTTTTGTAGCAGTGCGTGGCTTAACCAAGAGGCTTGTTACTGCTCGACGCAGCAGCTACGGAGAGGGTTTTCAGGAACTTGGATCGCTAGGGGTCTGTTGTATCGATGTATTTTCCAGTCTGAAAACTGAGATTCTCGACACCAGGCTTAAATGGTTTCAGTGTGTTGCTTGTAAACTCATTAATTCTGTCTTTATCGGTGTATCTGGTTTCTCTTTGCCTGGGTAATAACTTCTAACTATGTGGGGCTTATAAACGTATCTTTATGTCCAGCTTTTTTCCGTGAGATCATGAGACTGAGCTTTGTTTCAATTTCTGATTTAAAGTTAGAAAAGTATTTCTGTTTCCCTAAATGTCTCCAAATTTTTGAGTGCTTACTCTTGGTAACTTGAGCCCGTGTGTCCTTTCTGCCTGAAGTGGATGTTCACGAAGGCAGTGGATGTGTTTCCACTGGGACTCGCCTTGACCAAAACAGAAAAAGCAGAACAAGTGAAGCTCTCCCAGTCTTTGAGTGACTGCAAAGTTTTCCTGTTTGGTAAAGGCAAGACCAGGAATTTAATTTTGACAGAAGTTTTTGGTAAATCCTTAATTCTGTTCCTATTTTAGCATTAAGTCAAACAGATTGAACTGCTAATTGTAAGTAATGTAGTGCACCTTTACAAAGGAAGAGTCGGTACATAGATGAAAACATGATTATTTTTAATTAGCCTCTGTTGTTGTTGAAGGAAAATACTGCAAATACCTTGTTTCATAAAGGAGAAAATAACTTTCAAAAGCTGTCCAATAGTGGAACTGATATCTTGGATTTTTAATTTTGTTTTCCATTTTTCTTCCGAATAAATCCATTAACACCAGATGGCTCTGGACATTCTCAGAATGCACTGAGGAGGAAACAGATTTCTGCTCTGGAGACGTCTGGGTTTCTTAGGCTCAGGAGCTGAATTTCTAAACTTGGGTACCAAACTGTCCATATGCAATTGTTTTATGAGGTGAAACTCGGAAACAGCAGAGATGGTGAATCTGAAGGAGCCCTCCTTCCCGTTGCCCTCACTACCTGCTTGTTCCGCATTAAACAAGAGGAATTGGATTTTCACTCAAATCAAAACGTGCACGTTTAATTTGGGGACTATTATTTGAGGTGAGAGCACGCAATAGGCGTTCAAGTCAAGGTCCCGCTGCTGCTTTGGTTACAAAAACAGATTTCCACGGCTCAGCTTATGCAAAGGACCTTACCTATATTCTTTCCTTTGGCTGTTTGTAATGTGCCAGTCAGCTGTTGGACAGAACAGTGAGGATCATTCATTTCCTCAAAAGCAGCTTAGCTGAACCAGCGCTTCAGTGTCTTGCGTAATTGTGGTTTTAGATTCAAAAGTGTTGGAGCACAGAAAAGGTCCTTTTCCTTCAGACCGATCTCCACACGATTCCCCTCTCATCTCTAATACACTAATGCATTTCTACCCTTTACTTGCAAAGGGAACACTTCTGAATGTTGTGGAAACGTCAGACCGCATGGTTCTGCTTGCTGAAATCTGAATTAATCTGAAAATGAGTTAATCTAAGAAGCAGCAATAATTTGACTGTGCAGGGAGGGTTCTGCAGTCCATACGGTTTAAGTTTTACTGCACTTTCTCATGGGAGGTGTTTACCACTAACATTACTTTGCATTTTGTCACTTGTTCAGCTTGTTTTCAGTTGTTCCTCGTATGTTACATGCACAGCACGTTCTCCATCTCTTTCTAGAAAACCAAGGGTGGTGATCATTGGTGTTAGCAGAGCCTGAGCCCTGTGCAGTGTAGGTCACTTTGGGATGCACACACACTGAACACCACCAAAACCTGCTTGGGTCCCAGTGTTGGAAACGGGGGGCTGGGAGGGGAAGTGTGCTGCGCGTTGTGTGCCCTCATACCCCTGAGAGCTTCGGAATGGGATAGGAAGAAACATCTTTGTGCTTCAGCAGCAAAATGCAAAGGGAAGTAATTTTCTGTTGATGCGGACCAGCAGTGGATTTACTTGGTTTGAACTTCCCTAAAACAGAAGCCAGGCTGTTCCTTGCTGTGTAAATCATTGTATAGTGGCCTTTGCTTACAGTCGAATGAGTAACTTTCCATCTTGATTTGCGCTGTCTCCTGTTCTCTCTTGGAACTGCAAATTCAAATTATGTTGTAGTGCAGACACATGATTTTGTTTCATGAGATTTTTAAATAATCAACCTTGAGCTACGCAGTCTCCGTGAGGCGGGTTTTTGTTTTTCATTCTTTCTTGGCGTAGCCAGTACTGCTTATTTATCAGCTTAGTTTCTGTAAAGGGAAAAAAAATAAGAGGGGGGGAGAATAGCCCAAACCACTTTTCTTTTCTTGTTTTTTGTAGGTTTATGGGTGTCTGTGTGCATCAAGGACAGCTGCACGCTCTTACTGAGGTAAGACTCTTTCATGATATACGTACGCAATGTGAAACAGCTCTCGGCCAGACTCCACAACTGCTCTGGCTGTGAGGGGTGGCTGTTTTCTGGTGACCGGTCAATTAATCGCATGCTCCTCGCCGTGCAGTGAGGAGTGCAGAGCCAGGCCTCAGAGCTGGACTTCACTCCTCGCCCTCGGGTGTCTTTTCTCATCAGAAACGCTTATTAGGATGAAAAAACCATCACAGTAGGAGCATAAAATGTCAGTGATAGTATTGTGAATGAGATGTGTGGGTTACCATTGAGCTGCCCCTAAATACTGTTTGTTTCAGTGGCACCGCGTTGTATTTAAATCTTCTTTATGCTCCAGTTGTGTGTACAGTTCATAGGTAAATCAGAAGTTTCAGCCGGATGACACTGGTGTATTCAGTCCCTATCACCTTATTTGGAATGACATCAAGATTACAGCTTAATCTCAGTCCCATAAAAATGTGTTATTCCTCTGCCCACGTTCCCTGGCCAAGGTGTAGGTATCCAATGGGGAAGGGAAGTTTCAGTTCATGTGAGTCTTCCCACTAAGTTTTACTGGGTTTTATGTTTAACCCACCTGGTGACTGCTCAGGAAAAGCAAGAAGGGAGTGTTCTTGTTAGGAAGAGTGTTGCCTGTTTTCACTTAACATCCATGAAATGGCTTTTCTGCCCTTTTGGTTCGAGTACAGATTGAGGGGTAGCTCGTGTTTTGTTTGGTTAATATTCTATTTTATAGGAACTGCTCAATGAAATCATCAATTACATTTAACCCTACAGACAAGTATGCTATTAGTTAGCACAAGGAGAAGGTTGGACAGCTGTATGCCAGTTACCAGGATGTGTGTGGCCATTGCTTTCTGTACCTTCTCTATGCAGCTCTCGGACAAAGATGCACATACGGGGCAGTGAATTTCTTCACCCTTGGGGGTGACAGTTGTACAGCTGTAGCTACTATCAGAGTAACGCACATGAGTGCCCAGGGGCCGTATTTCTAGTGCAAGAGCGAAGGTAAAGACGCTTCAAGAAATGGCAAGATCTAAATCCTGGCAGACCTTCATTGGTGTCATTTTTGGAGGTTTTTTGTGGGTTTTGGTTGGATGGTTTGTTTTTTCCCCACCTTTGTCCCAGTTGCTGCCGAGATCTAAATCCTGGCAGACCTTCATTGGTGTAGTTTTCTGGAGTTTTTTTGTGGGTTTTGGGTTTTTTCCTCCACCTTCATCCCAGTTGCTGCCATTTACACATCCCTCCCCACCCAGAAAGCCAAGGAAAGGAGAGCAGCCCAGGTGGTTCCTCACGGAGAGCTGACTTTGGAGCTGCTCACCTTTTTCAGCCGTTTCTGAATTCTTGGCAAGCAAAGAAATCTAAGGAAGAATAACTCAGAAATAAAAAATAATACTTATTATCAAAAATAATTCAAAGAATATCTTATCATAGTTATAATTCAGAGTGACTGAAGAGATTCCCTGAAACATCTTGGGACCAAAGAGGAAAAGGTTTAGACTGAAGGTTGCTGCAAAATTTTGAGAAGTAGAATAGATTTATTATTAGAAGTACACATAGTGATCACTGCTTCTCTTATGTGGGTCAAGATGGACATTTAATGCCTTCAACGGGAAAAACCACAACCAAAGGCCATCGTAAGTTGATGGGGTAGGGAATCCACCCACGGTTTTGTCCAACACCGTAGTGTTCTTTCGGTTTCACAGAATCCCAGACCGTCAGGGATTGGAAGGGACCTCCAAAGCTCATCCAGTCCAATCCCCCTGCCGGAGCAGGAACACCCAGATGAGGTTACACAGGAAGGCGTCCAGGCGGGTTTTGAATGTCTGCAGAGAAGGAGACTCCACAGCCTCTCTGGGCAGCCTGGGCCAGGGCTCTGTCACCCTCACTGAGAAGAAGTTTCTTCTCCAATTTCAGTGGAACCTCCTGTGTTCCAGTTTGTGTCCGTTACCCCTTGTCCTATTATTGTTTGTCACCAAGAAGAGCCTGGCTCCATCCTCGTGACACTCACCCTTTAAATATTTATAAACATGAATGAGGTCTCCCCTCAGTCTCCTCTTCTGCAAACTAAAGAGCCCCAGCTCCCTCAGCCGCTCCTCAGAAGGGAGATGCTCCACTCCCTTGATCATCTTTGTAGCCCTATGCTGGACTCTCTCCAGCAGTTCCTGTCCTTCTTGAACTGAGGGGCCCAGAACTGGACGCAGTATTCCAGATGCGGTCTCACCAGGGCAGAGTAGAGGGGGGAAGAGGTTTGTGGAATTCTTAGAAGTAAAGAGCTGTGTATGCTCCAGACGATGGAATTAGTTGTGTTTTCTGCCAACAACAGCAGCACTTTTCATCTTGAAGTGTGTGTGGAGCAATAGTTGAGTTCTGCAGACTTGAGGAGGTCAGAGAAGGGGGCTGCAGGGGCTGGCTGAAGGGGTTCTGCTCAGTCACCAGTGCAAATCTAGCCCAGAAGGATAAATCAGCTGCTGTCTCAGCATTTTTCAGTTTGTGATCCAAAAAGGTGGTGTCCAAGCTTTCCAGGGCTCAGCATCACTGACACTGGGCTGACACCACTAGCCCTCATGTAACTTCGGCCAGAATTTTGTCTTTGGAGGTGAAACTGCTGATGGAGAGGCCCATTGCTCAATAGGCGTCAGAGTCACTGCAAGGAGAACCCTCTCACGCTACCCCACGCTGGACCTGTTCTGTAAGGAGCTTAATTATCACCTCTGGTGTTTGAGAGTACAGCAATGATACGCCTAAGTAGAAGAGATACAGCATCACTGGGAGCTTATGTCTGAGGGTGTGATGGGAAATGGTGTTTATTTGTATGTGTATGTTTCCATGGCATAAGAAGTTGAGACCTTATGGCAAATGTTTGATGAACAGATTTAGGTGACTTGTCCTTAGTAGCCTCCTATGCCAGGGCAACACCCGCAAATGTTGTTAGAGGAGCCCTGAGGATTTTATAAGCCTGTTCAGGGGCTGCATTAGTAATGCACAGCACTTTGTTATTGGAAGGCGGGGTGTGAAGTGGTGCAGGTTTCTTTTCTGGCATGTTTAAACACATGGGAAGCTCAACACAGCGGATCATGCAGAGCAGGTTTTTTTGCTGGAGGAAGGTGTAGACCATATGTAGGCCTTGGGTTTTTCCCTTTTGGCAGCGTTTTGCATTGTTTGAATTGTCCTCTCTCAAGTGGCTCTTGTTTTTAGAACTTTTTAGCAAGAAGCAGTTTCTGTTTGTTTTGGTTTGTTTTTTCCAAAATAAGAACGGAAATGTTTAATTATAGACCGTGCTAGGACGTTGGCCTTGTTCTCAATCCGCGGTCTGACCAGTTCTGAAAATCCCGTGGTGCTTTTGAAGTTCTGCTATGGCTGATG